TTACCTGAGCAGTCAGATGAAATAAACCCACCACCATACTTCGCCCAATCACAGCAATTCTCTACTTGTCATGCTGCCCCCGTATCTCACAACGGAGACGTGAAGGTTGTTTTTTTTCGGAAGAGATGGTCTTCTGATTATGGATACTTAAAAAATACGTTTAAGTAAATACAGTATATATTCTGGTTGTGGATACTTAAAAAAGGAGGTGTTATGATTGTGTTTTTTGTTGTTGTTGAATTTTGAACAAAGCTACTCGAGGCTCTCATAATTTTGATATGATATACTAGTCTTCATTTTCTTATTAAAATTCTTAATAATTGGATTTGACTGCCACTCTCATAAAATACCCATGGTTCCAAGACGCAGATCATGATTACTATTCATTTTACTTTTGTCATTGTTTTTTTTTTTCGTGGTAACAGAGCCCAAACCAGGATATCTCAGATCCACAGTCCAACAAGTTAACCATTAGGCCAAACTATACTCTTTGTAAATACGGCAGAATTGTTTGTTTGGTTTGAATTTCGCGCAAAGCTACACGAGGGCTATCTGTATACATTTCAGCAGTATGTTAATTGTGTTAATAACATTATTGTCCTATAGATACACAAGTAAAGGAAAAGTGGGATGAGACATGTTGAAACCTGCATGCTGTCCAATAGAAGTGTAAAAAACAACCCTTAGTAACACTGCCCACCTTTGTAAAACACAAGTAATACAAATAAACATATAAATGAAAACAAAAACATAAGTTGTGATCTAATTCAAATAATGGATAACAGCAGATTTGTTAAAAGCCTACGGACAGTAAGATTGTCATTAAAATATTGGTTTTAACATAATTAAGTCTGGACATTGATTATGTAATCATATGTAGAAATATAGTAACATGGTTCACCCTTATAAAACTCATGTAAGATAAAACTATAAAGTAACATGTGTAAATGAATCATTTTGTAAAGTTATATGATTGGCATAAAGACAGACTAGTGAAACAGTAAGTTTTAAGTCATTGCATGATATTTCAGGACGATTTACGTATAAATGATCAGAAAGTATGATTAGATATAGAACTAATGAATTCGTGTTTTATACCCACTGTATTAACTCTACTCCATGAGAATAATAATGATAATGTGCGCGAATCTTTACAAAATTTTGGAAATTATTAGTAAACATTACAAGGATTTAATACACAAAATATCATATTTTCAATTAAGTACTAAAATATCTTTATTGAAGATTTCCTAATGAATTTTTTTCAGAACGTTGACTATCAAACGTGCAAAGTAATTTTGATTCTAAGATTAAAAATGATTTTTATGTATCTCAAATTTGTGAAGTTTCATTTACGTAATCTCTATATACTTGTAAATAATCATTTAAACGTTTTTTTTTTGTTTTTTTTGGATAAAACTTTATATTCAATCTGTTATTTTATCAATATTAACTCTGTATGGTATTGGTCGATTTGACCAACCTCGTAACCATCATAAAAATGAGGAAATAAATCTAAATTACCATTTTTTCTTCTAGAATAACTACAAAGTGCAACAGTAAACCACAAATGTTTATTCTAAATAGCTTAAATCTCGTAACAGTATACATCTATTTATATTTATTGATTTTTGTTTTATTGACCTTTGAACCGTATCTGACTACAAATACCCCGACATAAACTGAAAATTACACGGGGCACGTGCAGTTCACATTACCTTATCACATTATAAGCTGCTGGTGCGTATACCTCATGAAGATATTTTTCTTTCATTATCTTATCTAATAAGTTTCGATTTTTATGATTTTAGTTACTTTTTAATAATAAATAGTGGAAACAAATCAAAAATAAAAACCTCGTAATTAAGTATGAAACATATTTATTTTTATTTTCAGTAAAGCTTTATATTTTATTTACTGTAACATTATACTTGATAATGTAAGTATGTATGTACTGTAAAGTTGTATGTAAGTAATCAAAGTATAATGAAAATAAAGGTTGCAAATGCAAAATAAAATGTATAGTATTGTTAATATTGAACACAAAAGTTCAAAGTACTTGTGATCAGAGTTTAAATTTCTCACCGTTTCACTCTTATTTTCTGTAGTTATTTTATTGCTAGCAGGTGGCTTACAAACAAGAAGAAACAAAATGAATAGTACTCTGTTCTTTTCAGTATGGACAGCAAAGTTCCAAAGTAAATCTCCCGAGAGTTCTTCTAATCTTTTTACACCTATTTCCCCCATTTATTCTACTGTTAGCGGCTGAAGTAGAAACCTGCAGAATATATATAGCAATGAATCACCGTTCCTGTTTAGGTGTTACCGTATTTTGAGTAATTTGACACCGTCAGTATCAAGTAATCTCATGCAGTGCAATTTCCAGGACTTTCCCTGATTTGGGGCAGGATTTATCAACTTGTTAACAGTATAATGGTTACAACGACAATTGTCTAAAGTATTATAAAATGTTTATGTTATGACATTATAGAAAGTCCGGGCCGATCGAATAAGTCGATAAGCGTAACTGTCCTATAAAAACTATTTGAATCGCAGCTCCGAGAACACAGTGGGGTAGAATTTGTCGGCTTCTTTACAGTGCAGTGGTTTCAACAATAATTGTCTAAAGTTCTTTTTAAAAGTTAGAGAAAATATTTATGATATGGCTCTGTAAAAAAATTGTATCTGATCCAATAAACTTGGGTGGTCGGGATTTAATGGTAATATAGATGTGAAAATGTTTATGAACATCTTGTTTCCTATTTTACCATGCTTACACAGTAACTAATACTTTGTAAAGTACAGTGAGGTTTTGGTTATCATACATTACATATGTGTGTGTGTATATATATATATATAATTATTATTATTATTACTATTTACAAGTAAATATTTGAATTTAAATGATCTTTCTTAAATCTTAGAACAGTAAATAAAAAATATTCGGAAAACAATTATCTTCACTATTTGTGATGTTCTGAAGCTCTTTTTTTTTGCACTCGTGAGTGTTACTTGCTAACCCTCGTCCTAAACCTGTCCAAATTCACATGTCAATGTAGAAAAAAAAAATTTTTAGACTTTAAATATGCATTTTTGAATACTAAAAAATTATAAATGACTATACAGATACCATAAAAATATATTGTACTTTACCAGGATTCTTAGCTATGCTGTATTTGGATCTAAAAAATCTAATTTCTGTTCGGAAAAATAGCATTGATCATAATACTCCAAACTCTCCAAAAATATAAAAGCTTTTCTCTCATAAGTAACTTAGAAAGACTAACAGAATTGTGTAGAGGAAATGTAAAGCTTTTGATTGGCTATAAACTTATAGGTATAAAAACAGGCATAAATAAACAAGTCTTCTCAAATGATGAAGTGGTGGGCGGAGCAAATATGGTGGATTCGATAAATATTATGATATCTTAGCAAATAGAAAAGGTAGGAGGTTCTTATTTATATTCTAGTTTGCCAATATCGGAAATTAGAATTTATAATTTGTATGAAACTACAGACATTGTATTGTGGGTGTCATAAAAGTTAATCCTACCAAACCCAGAAGATGACGTGCTTGTGTGACACACAAAAAATCATTATTTAGCTATTTTTTATAATATTTACTTTCAAATTAAGAAAATAACTAATGTATAATACTAAAATTTGAATTAAAAATACAGTTTGATACCAAGTTTATTGAAATACATTTATAAATTAGTAGTTCAATAAAATTTTGAATGTAAGTCTACAAATGTGATGACATGCCCTCTGACCCCTAGCTACCCATAATGATAGGGTTAAATCAAGCCATTGATTACGTGTGAAGACACAACTCTTAGTAATTAATTATATGGTTAGCAGAGAGACAAAGTAGTGAAACAGTGAGTATTAAATTATTGCATGATGTATAAATATGGATACTTTTCAGGATGGTTTACATATAAATGGTCAGGAAGTATGATTAAATATAAAACTAATGAATTAGTGTTTTATATTGACTGTATTAAATCTAGCCATCTTGAGACACGTTGATTCAGTTCGTGGACGTCATGTCCGCTTCTCATGGCGGCCTAGCAACGCGTCCCTAGCATCGCACCCTCTCTGGTGACATCATTGTCTCTACTCCTTCCCTCCCATTGCCTGTGGTCGACACACGTGTAGCGCCTTCTAGCGGTGTAACATGCGGGTGCCCCATAAGTATTGTCGTTTCATTTCTAAAATAAATTAATTGACTCACTAACTTTCTTGAATGTCCACCAAGTGTGCAAATTTTTCAAATTTATATGGTCAAACGTTTAGCCTTCTTGTTTAGGAAAAATCATAAACGTTTTTGTTTGTGCAATTTCTCGTTATCTTTAAGTAGGTATGGAAACTGTCGACAGAATATATGTTTTGTATCGTCTCTCCTTGTCTCCACTTGCGAATGGAAATCAACAACAGTTATAACGTGAAAATAAGTTATTTATTCTTACTTGCAGTGGCCCGGCATGGCCAGGTGGTTAGGACGCTCTACTCGTAATCTGCGGATCGCGGGTTTGAATCCCTGTCACACCAAACATGCTCGCCCTTTCAGCCGTGGGGACGTTATAATGTTATGGTCAATCCCACTATTCGTTGGTAAAAGAGTAGCCCAAGAGTTGGCGGTGGGTGATGATGACTAGCTGCCTTCCCTCTAGTCTTACACTGCTAAATTAAGGATGCCTAGCGCAGATAACCCTCGTGTAGCTTTGCGCGAAATTCATAACAAACCAAAACCTTAAATTGAAAGTGTACTGATAATAAGCTAAATTGCTTATTCATTAGCAAATCTTTTAGTATATGCTGAAGAAGATATGTTATGTAGTTATTCACTTGATAAAGAAAAATATTAATGAAAGAAGCGTAAATGAAACCACAAATATTTATATATATATGTGTGTGTATATACAGGTATATTCACAGAAAAAACGTGATATTATATTAATATAATTTTCTAATTTAATATATTTTTCTTTTGACAGGTGACGCAACCACTCTTTCTCGACAAAGCACGGGTCTCTCTCAGGCTCCCTTAGGGCTAAGTTCTTTACCTTATGCTTTCTACCCATCTTCTAGCGTTATCTCTTCCAATCAAGCAGCAGTTGCACAGCGATCATCTCCTGCATTAGCCTTACCCACGTCAATCCAGCACGCCACTTCTGCGTCTGCCATTGCCTACAACCAGAATAGCCTTCGCACTCAAGCAGTAGCCTACCAGCAGCTGCTCCAAGGACTGCCATCCGTACAGAACCCTACGTCATTTCCGGGGTTAGAAAGCGCTGGTGGTGGCCAAACACTCAGTCGGCCTACTGCAATCATGCCGCTCAATTCATGAACGCTACGTCATAAAGCATTGGCTTCTAGCAAAATACTCAAGGTTTCAATGAATGAATGAATACGTCTTTTTTGTGTAAAGACTGGAAGATTTTCCCTTCATTTTGGTTAATGCTAATTTTATTTGTTTGGACGAACAAGTGATTTATTTTATGGTACAAGCTAAAATCACCTCCACTGAAAGTAAACTTATTTAGTGTAACCATATGGATTAAAATTGAAAAGGGGTGGGGGGAAAAGAATGATTAAAAGTTACCATGTTATTCCAAGATAATACTTTTAACTTGAACTTGTACAAAACGTCGTTGTCCTCAGTGGCGAACCCCGAAGTGCTAACTTGGGGAAGGAGATTACAGGCATCGTTCTTTTCTTATGTTCAATATATTTTAGTTTTACTTGTTGTGAATACTGACTAGAATGAAAACCTTTAGGATTTTTTTGTTTTCTTTTTTTAACGAAAATATTGCCAAAAGAAGGATTGCGCAGATTTCATTCTTATAAACACCAAATTTGTAATAGAAACTAATTTAATATTCAACTGCTTGTTAATTTCATTTTCACGTTACCAAGTATTTAGGATTATCCTGAAGATACTAGGAAATATCATAGATTAAAAAAAATAGATAAATCATAAAACAAGCCGAGAGCCGTCGGAAGGCAGTATTGTTCGGGTTTTCGGATTACTTGTTTAGTGATTCTATTGATCGGTGCCAGGAGCATTAGTAATATTTTCTATGTAAATCAAAGTGCAATTCAAAAAAAATAACAATATTTACCCTCATTTTATTTTTATTATATTATGGTCCCTATATATCTAGTAAAGGGCATGCTTGCACAGCTTACACGTGAGTTACCCCTACCCCCTATTCTCGAATAATCATAACGTAGTCTGGCTAGGAGCTGAAGAAATAATAAAGATTAGATCCACAATAACTGTTTGGAAGAAAACTTTGAATATACCGTTTTCAATGTTATTACTGGAAAAAAACTGGGTCTATAAGTATATTTTTTTAAATTCAAAATCAGTCTGAACATTTAAGCAAAGCCGATAGAAACTATTTTGTTTCTCAAGGAACCCACTTGAAATTAAAAAATTGTGGAAACGGTTGATATAGCAGTACACAACCTTTTGTTACAGAATTCAACTTTCGCCCTGTTCATCACCATACATCATTCATTTAAATCGTTATGAAGTGTCTACATTGTCGCATATTTTTTATATAAAGAAATTATCGATATTTTCTAAATCTATGATTCCCTACTTTTGGAACTCATGCCCATTTTTTGCCATGTGAAAATTTTATCTGTACTATTTTTTACCCATAGGCACATAAGAATACCTGTTTTTTATAGTCTTGTACTTCGGATGTCATCTGGTATTCAGACTTGTCTTGGTGTATTGTTAACGTCACGGTTTCCTCATCTACAATAAAACAAACATTCAATAACTGAAAATGACATTGTAATCATCAATTACATTGTAATTGATGCTAATGTTCATATGGTAAAGCGTTAATCTTCAATTGATGATATTAATCTTGTCTATTTTTTGTAGACTGACCCTTAGCATTAAGATAAAACTACTATATAGGGGTTAGCAGCAGAACCACAAGATTTTATTACAAAAACCCACATTGTTTTATGGTTATCTAGTGTCTGAGCTGAAGACCCTATATTGTTCTGTGTTCTAATGCAAAATGTCGTGAAGCCGATGAATAACAAAGTTTTTAAAACAACATGAAGAGTCAACAAAATATCTACAAGTAGAACTATAGTAAGTATATGTTTGGCTAGTGTGCAACTGGTCAGTGTATTATGTAAGGAACAATGCATCTCCAAGTAGAACTTTAGTAGGTGTGTGTGTTTGACTAATGTGTGAAACCAGGCAAATTCTAAATACATGTTATCCCGTAATGCTTTAGATATACGGGAATTATTTTTATGATACACAACATTGAATAACGACCTTGTATAACCAGAAGATTAGTTCAGTACGGGAATCTTCAGAAAAGAATGCCTGTCGTGCTTTATTCTCCTACTTTGTAAAATTGTGATGAAGTTAAACAAAAACATTTTTCTGTAATTTTTTGAAAGGGTATTCGAAAATCGTTTCCTATTTGCACGCAATTTAATATATATAATACAACACGAAAGAATGAAAGTGTATACACATTGAAAGCAACAATGTCAAGGAAGATTTACTTGTGCATTAATGATAAACATTTATAGGATAAAACCGTTTGTGTAATAATAATAATAGTTATCGTTTATATTGTTTTAACATAGTGTTTATAAGAAAACACATATTTACGTCTTATTCTAAGGAGACTTTTATGTTATTTCTGCACAGGAGGTATGAGACTCCTCTAGTGGTTTGTTGGATGTTTCTGTGTTATATTCTCTATGTAAATAAGCGGCTGTTTCAAAAACAGCAACATATTTTTCGTTTTCTGGTTACTGTTAAAAAATAAAGTTTCGGCGACTGTAAAAGGGAATATGTTCTACACTTTTAACAATTTGAGTAAAGGAGAGGACTACGTTAATATAAAATTATAAATAATCTTGATAATTCTATTATTAATTGCAATAAGGGCAAATAATTTAATATCCGCAAGATAAGAAACATGTTACGAATTATATAGAGAAATAACTGCCTAGGAACGTGAGAAACAACAACAATATGTTGTAAAGTGTAGGAAGGAAAGATATTTTTATGGAAACTGATTAACGTAAGAATTTTCAGCATGAGTCAAAAGAGAAAATTATTCAGAAATGTGAATGAAAAAAAAATGCCTTCAAAATTCTAATAAATATAAATATTTTAGAACTTGAATGAAAATAATTTATGTATGATGTAACAAGAATATTAGAAGTATTAATATGTTACTTTCGGGGTATTGGGTTAATGAAAGTATTCATTGGAATAATGGGGTATCAGAACATTATAAAGGGTATCAGAGAGCCTGTGTTTTCTTTTCTAGCGCAAAGCTACACAATGGAATATCTGCGTTCTGTCCAGCGCGAGGAATCGAACCCGAGAGTTTAGAGTTGTAAGTCCTCAAACTTACCGCTAACTCGCCGAGGGACTGGGTAACGGGAATATCAGGTTATCGAAAGGTTGTATCAGAAGTATTTAATTATCATCAGACTGCATCAAAAGTATCGTTGGTATTAGAAGGTTATACGTATAGAAAATATTGAAGTATTGATTGCATTCCAATTAGATGTTACTACAATACAAAGAAAATGAAAAACGGTGCATCATCATATCAATTCGCCTCTGAATTGATTCATTCCCAAAGATACAATATGATCTAATTTCGTATTCCATTTGCTAGTAACATTCCAATCGCAAAGGCGCTATATCACAACGTAAAATAACCTGATTTGCTTGTTATTAAGCACAAAGTTACACAATGGGCTATCTGTGTTCCGCCCACCACGGGTATCGAAACCCGAGTTTTAGCGTCTTAAACCTGAGATTTCCCGCTGAGCCGTGGGAGTGGGCGTAAAGTAAAAAGTGTTAAAGTTTGGTAACTTAATAGAATATTTTTTCAACTAACGAGATGACTAACATGTATTAATTACTAACTTGAAGAAATTCACACTTGATGCTCCATAGTAGACGTCCAAACTGGTCATTCTTATTTTGTTTGTTTTGTTTAATAGTTATATGAACAAGTTAACAGGCCAAATTAAGTTTTCTGTGGTCTTTAATTTTTGTATGGATTGAACAATAATTCTATATTAATCAAACACTTTTTATTGTAAATACGAAAAAAAAAAGAGGGTAAGATTGTTTAATTTGTTTGTTTATGTTCGGTTTGGTAAAATATTGGTTTTGAAAAAGGACCTAGTCACTTTGCTCAATATATACGTTCAAGAGATTACTATGTACGAATAATTAATTGTGCTAATGATTATAATAAAATAAACTACTTGGGAATTTTGAGTTTCATTTTTTATGGCGGCTGTTATTTACTGTATGCAAATAAAACAGACTGAATACGAAAAACAAACAAAAAAAAACGTTAAATATATTTTCATATAATAACCATATTTGCAGAAACTATATTATTTTTATTCATATTACCTGGTAAGCTAAGATATAATAATGTAATATAAATATTCTACTATAATTACATATTCTACTAAACGATTTTTGAATCTTGCTACGTCGTTACAGTCCATGTTATCACATCCGAACATGCTCTCTCTGACGACCTTACATATTGAAAATAGCACTGCAACGTAGTTTCCAATATAAAATGGGAGGTTGTCATGTCAAAAGCACATCAATCCTCCCTTCTATTTTCCATAATCCATTTTGTGTACGAGGACAGCGGTTTCCCACGCTCGTTTAAACGGTCCGATCGCACATAAAATACATAAGTAAATATCCGTTTTATTTTTCAGCTGCTAGAGAGATGCGACAGTTCAACAGATATGTCTTAGAAGCAGCTCATGTACATGTGATTTGTGTCTCTTATTTTTCCAGACAGAAACACTCCTTCATAAATTTGCATAGTGGATCGTTTTTGCAACTGTTCGTTGTGTTCGTGAACTCTCACCTATTACAATCTGTTTACTACAGCTAGGATCTCTTCCGGGTGGTCCTGATTCCCCAGTTTGATGCAGCCCCAACCCCTTTTGTTTTTCATGCCATTAATTACAAGAAATATCTCTGTCTTGGAAATTCTAAATCCCCGATCTGAAGAAATTTGTATAACCTGAGTATGAAAGGGATTTTACATACCTTTCCCAAAAACAATCAATTTTCGATGGAATCACACTACTTCCGAAATTCTAGAAAATGTCAAAATGTAGTTCTAATACATTCCGTACCACCGCAACTTTATATCGCCAATGGTAGTAACATACCTTATTGATTTGCTAATTCAAAATTGTTTTAACATAACATACTCAACTTTCCTTCTTGATCTAGAAATTTGAATTTCTTTCAGATTTTTATATACTAAAATGCATTGAAAGATTATTTAGATTATTAAATCCATTGAGTAATTCATGTATTATTACACCTGTTAACTTTCTGAATTATAAAAAAATGCATAATTAGAAATATAAAATACTTTATCACTTTCTAAGTTTATTATTTTCGATATAAAGTTGTTAGTTTTCCAATGGATTTGAGCTGTTCATCTAAAGTGCCTAAGCTATATCAATGTGTTCATGAAAGTGTTTATTAAAAGAGGGCCAGTCTTGGTCTGATAATTAGTGTATCAGACTGCTTATCGAAAGATCCAAAATTTGGGTGCCCAATGTACCGCTGAATAGGATCCGCTGTGGGAGCATTATAAGAGTGACAGTCAATTTCTACTTTTTGGTTAGAGTAACCTCGTAGCTTGATCAATAGTTCTAATTGATAGACGACTTTACCTGAAACTTTGAGTCTCTAATCTGGCTGTTTACCGTTTAACCCATTTGACTAGCAGGTTCAAAATGCGATATACAAATATTATTTGTTGTAAAATACAAAACCATTCATGCTGTGCCCACCACAGGGATCGAATCTTAATTTTTAGTGTTATAAGCTTCCTAGCTTACTGTGAGCCAACTGTGGTTTAAAAAAATACAACATCTCACATTAAATCTGGCTTCTAAGATTCGGTTTGTTTGTTTTTGTTGCAAAGCTACACAATACGCTACCTGTGCTATGTCCACTATAGGGAATCAAACACCGGATTTTAGTGTTGTAAGTCTATAAATTTCTCTCTGATCCACTCGGTGACTTCTAAGATTCTTACTTAATATGTTTGACAATCTTTAAAATAGTTCGATGCTACAGAATTTGTAAAAAACTGAGATATTTTCTTCGTAATGTAAACTTTTGGGCCTGGTATGGTTAATTATTAGTGTGCCCGCGTTCTGTGAATCCTGTGATTCGTGGTTCGAATCCCGTTGCCACAAAAACGCTCACCTCTCTTTGAGACCGTTGATGCGTATTAAGAAAGTCGATCAAATCTCACTGTCTGATCAAACAAAAGTAAAGAACAATTGGACAGTAGATGTGACTAGCTACGCTCATTCTAGTCTATTAGTTCAAAATTATGGACGACTTTGCAAAAATTTTAAAACAAAGTAAACGTTTAAAAGTATATCTTGTAAAAACTCATTTTGGTTTATCAAAATAACTGTAAAAATGAAAATATTTCAGTAAGTGATTTCCGCAAAGTACCAAACGTTTTTGTATTAAACGTGCATGAAAATACTCATAAATGGATATTGTAATGTAATGGTCAATCCCAATATTCGTTGATAAAGAGAAGTCCAAGAGTTGGCGGTGGGTGGTGTTGACTAGCTGCCTGCTCTCTAATCTATTATTTCAAAATTAGGAATGGTGCTCGCAGCTAGCCCTCGAGTGGCTTTGCGTGAAATTCAACAGACAAACAAAACAGATACCTACACACTTAGGTTTACAGTCAAACTTTTAAACATAATAGGGCAACATTTACAATTTCATTGCTTTATATAATTTTTTTTCATAAAAGTCACTATTTATTTTTTAACTTTCAAACTTTGGAAATGAATAATATCGAGAAACGTTGTTTCGCAAGATTATATAAGATTGTTAAATGTATAGATAAAGTATTACATTAATTGAATTTATGATTAATAATAATAAAAATGGTACGATTAAATAAAGTTAGGTCTGCGGGAGTTTCTGTCTGAATGCTTAATTTTTTTCAAATAGAACAGAATTTATCGATCTAACAAATAATGCCTGCAACAAAGCATAGCTTAAATGCTGTGCGTATAAATTATAGAATAAGGAAAGCTCAAACCAGACCATGAAAACTACTGCAAATGTTTTGGGGTTGAGGCTAATATAAATTAATACCAGCATTGTTTCTTTGTCTCTTTCTCTCTCTCATGTTTTAGTGATTATGCTTTTTCTGTCAATGCTCCTACGTTTTAGAACACTCTACCTATCGAGCTGCAGTGCTCAAAATCTGTCAGGTCTTTTAAAAGTCTTTTGAAGTTGTATCTCTTTCACCGGGCTTTCGACTAATGTAGAGATTGGTCAGTGACAGATTCATTGAATGGCTGACAACGGTTAGTGGAAAGCTGTATAAGAAATTAAATTATTACTATTATTCCATGCCAATACGGCAATACCATACCAAGATGGTATTACTAAGCCATGCCACACATCATATACACGTCTCTTTTTATATTTTACTATTTGTTTTGCAGGATCTTTTCCACTGAAATAAGAGCTAAACCTATAAGTAGTGATGCAGGTGATTCCAAAGCAGAACAAAGCACACTCGAGTCAAGTGATGAAGAACAGGAAAATGAAATAAAATTCCACAACATTGCCGATATCATTAATAGTGAGGCAGAGTTCAGTGAAGTTTGAGGCACATACACTCAATTTAGTAGCAACAGTCACGTAGAAAAGGCTTTGAGCGACGGTACGTTCAAGAAAATGTCCCGATCGACGAAGGCCCAGAAGCTTTGAAACAAACAGAGCCGCAGCATCGTAACAGCTGTCCTTATACAACAAGAACTAGGCGAACGATTTCTTGTTCCATGCGCTATGCGGTGGAATTCGACGTATGATACGTTCGTTCGTATGGAGAGCACAGTAATGAAATGAGAGGGTTCAGTTAATAAAGTCTGTGATGAGCTGGGTGTAGTTTGTTTCAACCTATCGGATATAAACCTCATCAAGGAATATGTAATCGTCATTCGAGCTGTAGCACGCACGCTGTACTTACTTCAAAGTGAAACTAAGGTCTATATGGGACTACTTTTTCCAACATTTACCGCATGTTTGACCAAATTGAAAGATCTTTGTGGTTAACCACTCCAGACTTGCAAACGTCATGCTGATGCTTTGATTTCAGGAACTTTGAAGCACTTTGAAACTACCTTTGTCAATGAGGATCACGTTTTCAAAGCTGCTTTTCACCCAAGGCTTAAACTGATTTGGATTAGATGCAACGCTGGGAAAGAAACTGTACAACAAATGATGATTAAAAACTTTCAGAGAAGATGGAAGACGACGGTGATGAAAGTTCAGCAAATGCGGATGTAAGTGATATTTCGTCATTTTCGAACATCGAGAGAGATGACGAAGATTTCTTCACGTGCTTTAAAAAACAAGCAAAATCTGCAAGTAATTGGTCCCAAAGTAACAACGATAAAATAGCATTGTTCCTGAACAAAGAACAATACACCCCAAAATATATAGAATCAAACTTGTTCCCTTTACCAGCTTTTAGATCTCTCTTCATTTACCTCAATAAGTCCATTCCATCGAGTGCAGCTGTAGAGCACATTTTCACAACAGGTAAAGACATTTTGAAGCCAAAAAGAGCTGGATGGATGGATAACAATTTCGAGAAACTGATGCTAATGAAATTAAATAACAAATTAGAACAATAATTGTTAGATATACACAACTGTTTCCATTTAAGTTTATTGCGAAGGTTATAATTTAATTAGTTATACAGCACAAGTGTTAAAATTTAGTTATTTTTAGAAGCTGTATTTTATCGCAAGTTTGTTTACAAATCATGCGTTGTGTAGCTCAGTAATTGTGAATTGTTATTGTTATATTATTGCATCACGTTACTAGAACCTCCTGCGATTTGTCGTTGTTTTAATTAAATATCATTGCATCATAATATCTAGTAGTGTGTGGAACGTTCTAGCCTCTGACGGGGTATAAATACGCGTCGAAAATGTAGTTCGATATAAACAAATCTAGGCTGCGTGGTTGTGAGTTTAGCCATAAAGCGCGGATAGCAGCGATTTTTAAAGTGAAATTATCACAGATAGTTTGTAATAACAGAGTAAAAGATATAATTTGTCTTGTCAAACGTGTTCTAAAGTATCTGAACCAGCCTGGGTGGACTTTGACAAGGAATAGACAATTATTTAAAGCTCCGGATACAACTGTGGTAACCAACAATGTAACGAATATTCATAAATACGCTTGACTTCTTTTAGTATATCACTTTAAAACAAGTGGACTGTGTACTGTTTGTTTATTGTTGAAATTTATCGCCATCAAGTCAGAGACACCTACCGTGAAGAGGCCCGGCATGGCCAGGTGGTTAAGGCACTCAACTCGCAATCTGAGGATCGCGGGTTTGAATCCCTGTCACACCAAACATGCTCGCCCTTTCAGCCGTGGGGGCGTTATAATGTGACGGTGAATCCCACTATTTGTTGGTAAAAGAGAAGCCCAAGAGTTGGTGGTGGGTGGTGATGGGTAGCTGCCTTCCCTCTAGTTTTACACTGCTAAATTAGGGACGGCTAGCGCAGATAGCCCTGGTGTAGCTATACGCGAAATTTATAACAAACCAAACCTTCACTGAACTTCGTATTAAACGTTAAATAATGTTTTCGAGCTCTTGACCTACAGATATAATTTCTACCTGTTTTGTTAACTTACTTTATTAAACAGAAACTTAAAACAAAACTTATGGATAAAGCTAAACTATTTGATTTAACTTTAGTAATTTTTAATAATTTTCTTTGTTTTTCTTGATATATCGGATTCTTTCATTATTAATTTTGCTTTAAAATTTTTTCATGAAAAATAATACATTCGCCATCTTTTCAATAACTAGTGGGGTGGGGTGGAGGGGGGTCTATATTACAAACGCAATCACCAATAGGGTACGAATAGATTTTTTATATTGTTATAATTCGAATTAAATGACAAAGTACGCTCAAACACACACATATGCTTACGCACTCCTACTGGCACAGCCGTATGTCTGCGGACTTACAACGCTGGAAACCGGGTTTCGATACCTGTGGTGGGAAGAGCACAGAGAGCCCATTGTGTAGCTTTGTGCTTAACTTCAAACAAACAAACAAATATATGCTTACTTATGCTCTGTTGGGATTGTTTGTCCTTTGTTTGCATTCTGTGGCTGTTCCTTAGTATCTTTGTATAGAGGTTTTTTTCATAGCTTGCTCATAAATAAGTCTTTGATATAGCGAATAAATAGCATCAGGATTCTTATGTTTTCGTCATTAAACGTATAGATAGTGGGATTTCAGTGAAATAAACTCTTCTAAACTAAACGCACACTGTTTCTTACCACAATAAGCTCTCATTTCTTTCTTATTGAAATAATTAGATAATTAAAAAAATAATTCATGTCTCTGAATAAAATACCTATATCAGTAGCTTTCTTGTGTAAACAGTTCTTTTTTATTCTTTAATTGGTCAGTTTCGGCATGTGGTTTAAGAAACTTGGAGCTCTGGTAAATACTGGTAATGTGGTCAGGTGAACTACTTAGAAAAATAAAGTTTTCTTGTTTTTTGTGGCTTTTTTCGAAAATGAAACAGGACACAGGGGGGTATATTTTTGTCCTTTAATCCAGGAATTTTTAATGCATTAATAGTACAAAGTACTTATGAAATTCACCCAATAAAACGCTTGAATTTTGTTAAAAATGAAAAACGATTAAACTGTGGTCCTTTTCTTTGAATCCACCAATTTTTCTATATTACGATAAATGGCAATAGTTTGGACTAATTCATTATAGAAAATGCAAAAATGGTCCAAGAAGTGCACCTATTCGTTGATAAAAGGAGTAGCACAGGAGTTGGCGGTGGGTGGTGATAACTAGCTGCCTTCCCTCTAGTCTTACACTGCTAAATTAGGGACGGCTGGCACAGACAGCCCTCGTGTAGCTTTGCGCGAAATTCAAAAACACAAAACAAAACAAACCCTAAGAAAAGTTAGCGGTTTGGCCATGACCATGCAGGTGACCTGGTTAACATTTATATACATACATAAAAGTATAAAGACATTTTATGTGGATAAACCATTTGAAGTGCTCCGGGATGGAATCGTAAAAACGAAAATCTTGAAAATATATAATACAACCATTGTTGTATTTGAATTAATCATTATTTTTTAAATATGGTTTTGTAGATTGACCGTGAAAAAAAAAGCGCTGGAAATAACTTTTATGTGGATTAAACATTAATTAAAATGTTTATTTCTTTAATTGCAGTGAAAAACACATCAAATACATGGTAAATCACATATTTTATGTGGAATAACCGTTAAGTTAAGGGTATTTTCTTCTAGAATAACAATAAAAAACTAAAAATACAGACTAAAAAAAGTTAATTTAGGGTAAATTCCAGTAAAATTTAACGGCAAATTGATATAAAGTTAACAGAAGACACCGTAAATTAGTTTAAAATTCTGAAATTATTTTTGTGTACCGTCTGTGCTTAATGTAGGTTGACACAATGTAAATCAATATTAACTCATCTCTTATGCAAGTTTTATATCTGCACAGTTAGTTATGATATAACTTTATAATATATAATTTGGTGTCAAATAGATAAATATGTTCTAAACGGTTGTATTTATGGAAAATATAACTGAATCACCTGTTATATCCCTCGATGCTAATCTGTTGATTACAATGTAAAATTATAATAGTTCATTTGATTTTAAGTAAGTCTATGTAAGACGATAAAGTACCATCTGTTATTACGTAAGTCTGTGCTATATACTTTATGTTTCATGACTGGTCAAACAAACGCAAAATAAAAGTTTTTCACTCGAAAAGAAACCTGGTAGGCAATCAAAGGCGACTTCGTGCATGAATATACTGTTGCGTCAGCGAGGTCA